CTCTGCCACTGATGTGAAGTTATGTATGGCCTATTCAAAAATGACTCTACTACTCTGTTGGCAACCATTCAAAATGAAAGCACCAATAAAACAACTTAAGAGCGAGGGCTTGAGATGAGCCTGCTAGGTGATGAAAGAAGCTGGTTTATTGGTCGTTGTCTTTTTATTAGTCACTGCATTTCGGTTTGGTTTGTTTTTTTTTCGCAGGAAATGCTAAACACACCACATACCTGGGTATAGAATCAAACCGATAACCACTAGGCCAAAATGTGGTAAAAACCAAGATAGAATTGTCTTTGTTCTCACTTTATTTGATACAGAAACTGCACACACTGTACAGTTATATCTTATCAAATTAGCTTGGCCCTGAATTAGCTCCACAAAGGAGCAGGTCACTGTAAAAGACCAGTGTCAGTGTACTCTTTATTCACTGTGACAATCAGCAGCAGCTTTCGTCAGACCAGTTTACTGACCAGCGGCAGCCATCTTTTTATTTAATTTATTTTTTGAACATTTCCTCTACATACATGCCTGACATTCCAGGCATTATTCAAAAGTAGATTGAGAGATGTCACATACCACCGACATCAATACAAGCAGAAAAAAGTATTTTTAAGCCATTCTCTTTCCTCAAATGTCTGAAAGAAACATTCCCAAAATAGTTTGTTACACTGAAACTGACATTCAATTAAACAAATGTTATGAGAACATCATCTGTCTTCCAAAATCATCATGGTTTCCATTGGATACAAGCACTGGCTGCAGAAGGACACCAGTCAGTATCTGCTAACATTTGTGATCCAGAGTCTGATCCAAAATCAGATTTGAAAAACGATCTCATTGTTTGAATAACTGGCTGTGTCTAGTATGATTTGATGCTCACTGGGTTAAAACAGTGGGTGTGAACTGTGTAGTAACAAGTCCTCTTTCCCCAGGGAAGTTACAGAAACAATGGCTCCGCTAGGCATGCTGGGTAACCACAGCCGTTCTCAGACCATCAACCATCCATCTGAACTGTACAATGACACAACTTATACAGAACCCCCCCATCCCAACAAAGTTTCGCTATAGAGAGGGAGTTTCCACTGGAAAAAAATTAGGCTCACGTTGCTCTAGCAGCTTTCTAGGAACAGGTGTTGCACATGTTCCTAGAAGGATCCTAAAATGGAAAAGGGAAAACAATATCTCAAAAGGGAAGTCTTATCAATAACAAAACACTGCGCTGTTGTTACAGCTTCAAACGTGTTATCATATTTACATAAATTAGACGTTATGTTCTACTGGTTCTGAGGGCAGTAAACACAAGCTGGAATATCAACCTTCCAACATACGTTTTTTTAAACTGCATCTGCATGTGCTCAAGAAGAACTATGTTGTCACAGAGTTAAACCTTTGAAAAGCTGTGCTGCGGCCGTGGTAACCAAGCAAATAGTTTTAAAGACAGCTAAAGGAAAGACACGGCTCCATGGGGGAGATGACGAGGTTCAAAATGCACAGAAACAGATGCCAAAATAGGAGGAGTTTTCCTGTTAGACGTATGTTCCTGGAGAGATGGTGCCTCTCCTAGTGTAGATGTTACACAGGGTTCACAAAAGTCATCTAGATTTAAGCACTTGGGGCTTGCAGCTGACCAACCTCAGAATAGACCTGAAGCCTGTGTTCACAATTTCTGTCACACACGCTGTAAGAAAATGCTACAGACGGTGTTTTTGCAGGGCGTTATCTTGTAAAGGGGTAGTGGTTATGTTAACGTTTTCTAAGAAACTAATAGGAAATGTAGAAATGGGTTAGAAGTTAAACTCAAGTCGTGCATAAACACACAGAAAGGTCAATTTGGGTCTAGAAAAATGGACTCACTATAAACAGACGAATTCCCTGTAGAGGAAGCACGAACTTCATGGCTAAAGTAAACCACAGGCACAAGCTAACTTATATGACAAAACAAAAGGCTACTTATATGTTAAACACTCCTTTTCTATTCTCCTCGTCCCTCCTCAACAGAGTCAGTCAAGGTAGGAGGTTCAACATTTAAGAACTTGAAGTGCAGAGCTGTCTCAGGTAGTCTGTTTGCCATTACCAGGACTCACCCAAGGATTGACAGCACACAGGAAATGTGCAGAGAACCTCCCGCAAAGCAGAGGAAATCTATGATACATTCAAAAAAACCACTGAGCTTCAGAACACTGAATCTCAAGTGGTAAAGCCTTTGGACCCACGGAGTCTAGTGGTCATGACAAATAGTTTTGAAATTTCCGAAGTGGTGAAATTTGACAGAAAATATGTTAAATATTTGTCTGGAAAAAAAAAAAGCAAACAGCACTCAGGTAAAGGCCTGCAGTCTAAATAAGGTGGCAGCTTGCAGAGAAACAATTGATTGAAGTATAGTCACAGTCAATGCAAAGACATTTTTGTGCATCAAAACTGCAAACAAAGTCAATGCAAAGACCTGTAGAATAGATTCAAAAATGTGTCCTGCACGGATCAGATGGTGAGGTTCAAGAGTTGGAGGCACTGTGATTGATGCACACTTTCTTTCAGAATGAGTTGAAAACTTTCAGTCTTCGTAAAAAAAAAAGTGTTGTCATGGCAACCTATCAGAAGCTGTAAGTCACACACTTTTTTCAGCCTCTTTATAGCTTGTTTACATGCACAATGTCAGTTTTTATTAATTTAACCTTTACACTAAATTTAGCATCAAAATCCCCATGACTATATTCACTGCTGATTTTGCAGATAAAAACAATATGAGTGATGCATTTACTGTCCATTATTATGGACTGCAGAGTTTAATTGCCTGCTGTATAGCCATCACTGTCTGTGTCAATAGGTATAACGCTTCACACCTAGAACTACTAGCACATATGTCAAAAACTATTAAAATATCACAAAAATTACAGTTTGTTGAGAAGTGTGAGTCATTCAATGTGTTCGTCTCTCAGAGGCCGCAAGTTAAACTGAGGAAATGTTTTGATTTTTAAGCAGTATCTCTTTATAGGGGTTCTAAACGGGAGGTAAATAAAACAAATCGCTTCACCAATTGGTTTAGGCAGGACTGTATTCATTCATAAAGTAAACTGGGCTCATGACTCATACATACCTTTAGCCTTTGAACTGTAATAAGCATAAGCACAGAAATATTCCTGGGGGTAAGTTGGAGAAATTACTCTTTAAAGCCTACTGTACTGGTTCGTGCTGTCTTAATTGTAAGCATTGATTCGTTTAGTTCCAGTGCAATTATTGTTCTTTTTATATCTTTGACATGTGACAGCTACTACGCCCTCGGGTTAAATTACATGTGGGGAATTATAGACGTATCTGTTCGCATAAATATAACTGCAGATTTCATAGGAAAGTACCTTTTTTCCAGCAAATAGTCTGAGCCGGTCTAGTCAGTAGCACTATATTGTTCGTTTACTTCTATAGCACCGCCCCGGCGGACGGAGAGACCACTGTAATACAGAATTCGAGTCATAACACCGCCCTGGCAGCATGTCCAAGTAAGAAATCGCAATGAACCCAACCTAGCGCAACAGAACCGAGATGCTTTCGACTGCTTGCTAAAAAAAATGAATCCCCTGTGTTGGCCCATGTTAAACTCCACAGAAATGTACAAGCCACAAATTCACAGACTGTCCGTGACATAAACGTCAGGCAAAGAAGCTAATTATCACATACCAATCACCTCGTGTAGCTCATAGTCATCCTTGTTGATGGACCAGGTTTGGGAGCTCGGGTCCTCCGACATGGCTGAGGAATTAATGTGCTAAGGCCGGTCTATGTATGGAGATGTGCCGAAGACGAAGACTGAGTGTAAAAACAAGTCCAAGTAATCCAAACAGAACCAACAAGGGCGACACTTCCCCTTCTTTGCGAATCCTGCAGCACTCCTGTCATTCCCAAAGTTTGACACTAGCCTTGCAGCCCCGCCTACCACCTGAGCTAACGTGGACCTTCGCGGCGGCCATGTTGAGTGTGAGGTGTTACACTGAAAAGGCTCCGTAAACCAAGCCTGTCCGTGGCAAAAATAATAGCGACACAAGCTAAGGGTTGATGTACACAGCTGAGGCTACGCTAAAGCTCTGGCTATGTATTTAGTACTTTCAACATTTTAACCTCGCAACCTTTTATTACACTGACAGAAGCTACAGTTAAATGTTTTATATGAAAACATGGCCAAAAACAGATGCAGCAGTTTGTTTCCGCCACACTTTCAATGGTGCCTTTCATTACTTGAGATGTTTCTTTGCCCAGAATTTAGTTTTCCAGGTACAAGCCTGGCGAAGCTTCACAACGGAAGACCTCGGGTTTTTTCCCCGTTCTTTTATATTTAGGATTTGTTTTTACTGGAAGTGGTTGCTTTTACTACTTTACATTTCCGTTTTTTATACAAAATTTAATTGCTCCTTGTTAGACCAAATTAGGGCTTATAATACTCCAAATGAAGCAATGAGTCAAAGAGGCGTGCTGCAGTGCCCCGACATTCTGCCCTCTGATTGGATTAGACCATTGTCATCGCATGTCGTCCTGCTTCATTCATTTCCTTAATACTTTAGTAAAACAGCGCCATGCATGGTTGTGTATTTTATTACACTCAACAAATGCAGAAAATCCTTAATTAAATATATTAAAAATGAATTACTTTTTTTTTTCTAATTGACATGGCCTTAACAATTTGTTTAAAATACCAGAGCACCAGCTAAATAAAAAACTAGCTAACACAATAAAGTTAAAATATAATGGACAAAATCAACTTTTTAAAAATATACAGTATTTCATTTATTTTTAAAAAGTAATTTAATCAATTCAATAATGTACAAAACGTTTTCTTAAAAAGAAAAACTGTTCTCAAGACTAGAAAACATTTAAAAAGTGAAGGCACTGTGGTGACACAGAATGAGACAGAAAGGTAAACGACAGTAACACTGAACACATAAAACATGAGGAAATTTGACCACACTGACCAACCACACCGTGACTTCCTCTTCAGACTTCAATCTCATCTAAAATATAGACTCATGACAGGAAGTGAAACAGGACATTAAAAACATTTTTTACAAGGTGTATGTACAAACCACAATCATAGGTGGTGGCATACAGACATATGTAGCAATAAAACAAAAACAGTGCTGTGTGCTGTATAATCTCAGACAACTTACCTTTGCAATAATTAATGTACAAAAATCAATACTGCATATAGATAAAAACGGTAGAACGCAGCTTATACCACACAAACCATCACAGACAGAGGAGGCCAGCAGGACAAGGACATCACAAGTGATAATATCCTGTCATGTGATTGGACAGGAAAAAGGCCTCTTGGTCGGTTGATTAAGGGAGCGACAGAGATTTTGCCAGACGATCCCAGAACCAGGCCTGTGTGGACTGTCGGGTGTAGTCACACACGGTGATGTAGCGCAAGATTCTGGGGAATGGCTTCTTCATTGGTTTATAAACCACTGGAATGAGACGTTTCTTCTCGGCTCCTGTAGCAACATTAGGAACAACGTTAAATACTGCAAATACCAGTGGAGTGCATCAACATAAAAAGAGTGGACCTCACCAGGACCAAGGCTGAGGGCGAACTTGGTCTGAAAGTCACAGGCTTCACTGTCAAGGTATTCATCAGAAATCACCACCACCATCCTCCTACACCTGCACAAATGTAGCCATATGTTCTACAGTTTATTCCATATTTAAGGACATTTTTCTACTGTGTTTAGGTGTAAAAACTGTAAATATCTTAGTTTCAGTTTTAGTGGATGAAAGGAACAAAAAAGAAATAATAGCAAGAAACAAAACATATTTCAGTGTATTGATCCTTTCTTTCAACTCTAGTGTTAACAGACCAAATGTACAGTCTTTGAAATTGTATTTTCAAGTTTCAATGAACTGTACAGTTGTGGTCAGATTTCATGTTAGGCTGTTGCAGTTAGGCATGTGTAATGCATGCATCCTATAGTTCCTGGTACATAAAAGTCCTGCGGGTGTCAACCGACCTTTGCTCAATGAGTTCACTCGTGATGGTCCACACACAGGACCCTGGCAGGACGTCTCTGTCAAACACACAAAGTTTCAGCTTGTAGTTGCTGTTTTCCAACTGTCGGATCATTTCATGGACAAACTCCAAGTCACTATGGCAGTAACAGATGAAGGCGTCAAACTTCTCTGGAGTCCCTGCAGTTAAACACAGCGGGGTTAGAATAACACAAATCAAGTTTCCATGTTTTTGCAACAACAGACAAAACCTTCATTTTAGACTGGGCAGTGATGCATTCACTAGCCTAGGAAAACTCAATCAAACACAATGACTTTCATACTTTATAATGTCATGTCACTAACTCTGAAAGTCCTACATTGGGGAGACGTCATTGAGTATGTTCAGAAAATTTCTGACAATTTTTCAAAGTTCTTCTTTTCATATGCGGTCTTTTGAGCCATGTTCACTAAATTCCCAAACGGTGAAGCAGAACTAATTAGCAGGAACTTGAGAAAATACTTTTTTATAGCAGTGTTGACATATGAAACGTGATGTACCTGTAAATCAGTGATACTCTAGAAGTACAGAAATAATGAAGTTCGTGTTAGTTCTATAGACACTGACCATCAGGGTCGTCCTCCAGCGTGATGCCACTCATCTCAGGAGTGCGGGGGACACAGCTGTCCACTTCAGGAACCTGCAGTGGACGTTCTGCCATCTTCTCACGGTATCTTCTGACATCCTCATCTGGTGATGTAGGAGAAGAAATGTTGTGTCTTCAAGCACTTTTATACATATATATTTAAATATATAAGTATATATAATATATAGAAGAAATATATAATATTTAAATTACTCGATCTACATGATCATCCTATGTGGAAAAAATCGGTCGGTTATGAAAGCAAGAATGAAGTAGTTGCAGCCATATAACTAATGAATATTAATGTGTAGTTTAAAAATATCTAAAAATGTATGATTATTATTATTCTAAAAAAATAAAAGACTACCAACGACATAAATAATACAACACAACATAAAGATAATTACAATAATAGATATTACTGCATACGTAAAAAAAAAAATTTCGCAAACGTGTAACTCAATCCCGGAAGTGGAGAGAATAAATCTGTGAAAATGCGTATGTGAAACACTCTGATCTTAACGCGACCCAAGGTTAGAAAAGACGGTTTCAGGATGACTAACGTACCAATAAGCGGACGAAGGTCCTCCACAACATCGTCCCTCTCCAACTTCAACAGGATCGACAGTAGCTTCCCCACGCTGGCATCTTTATTTCGGGCCTGCCACTCGTCCAGAACCCCTGCCATGGGACTCCTTACGGTCTCATAGTTCTTGATCTCCAGGTAGGTAAAGTCCATGGCTTCAGCCACAGCTGTCCAGTCCGCGGCGACGGTGTTTTTGGGGTTCAGGTAAAGTCCGAGCTTCTTCCTCACCGTCACGTTCAGAGCCGTCAGAGGAACCGAGTCCAGGTCCATTTTAGGAACGAAACTCGCCATGTTAGAACTTTGTAGTCTCACCTGTATGTTTAACTGATAACTAAATAAACATTGTTCAGGAGAGAGCTGCTGTGAACGCTTGATGACTGGACACGGAAATGACGTTGGGGAACGACGTTTTACGTCACACCAAGAAAAAAGGAGATGTAGTTCCTTCCTTCTCACGTTGTCTTAAATCTGATTTTTTTTCTCTCCCTCTCTCTTTATTACACCATAACGTTAGGGACTTGTTGGGTTTAAAATCAGTTTATAACAACACATTTGTACATTTATAGAACCATTGGAGTTGTTAAGAGTCAATATTAAGTCTTAATAATTTAATTAGTTGTAAAAGAAGTTGTAAATAAGAAACATTGATATTATGTAATGTAGGAAAACGGCATAACCGCATGACAACAAAGTTGTACATTTATAACAATAGTGTATTTGCGTGAATTGTACATTTCCAAATGTACAACTCTATTGTCTTAAATTTACAAGAATAAAAAATAATGACAATAGTTGTATTATTATAAATGTATATTTGTCACAACAGGAAAAAAAGAAGAAAAAAACAGACTGCGGACATCACTGAAGTTTTACAATATGTATATAACACGTGATAATCTAAATATTGTCCAATCCTACAGTAACTCTGTTGGACAAAATTTCATAAGACAAAAAGATCAGTTTGCCTTTTTTATTTATTTAGTAAAATAACACTTTTGACATTAAGGTTTGAAAGGTTTACTAACACGGTGTATCTAAACATGCCTGAGCAGAATATTTGGACTGATCATTGTCTGAAAACCACAGTGTAAGTGTTTCCTCTGCTGCTGCTGCAGAACAGGAAACAGCGTTCAGAAGAGAGGAGGTTTATACAAATGTGCTTTTCTACAGAACTGAAAGCATAAATTTAGATCAGCCAAAAATAAATAGTCAAATCCGTGGGAACACGTGTTCCCTAATGTAGACGGTGTCCCACATAGTAACAGTCCAGATTTGTGCGTCAGCTGTGATCTGACCATTAGCTCAGTATTCTATGTTGATGATAGATCACAAGTTTTTGCTCTTGGAGAAGTAGAAATCAATGCCCCTGTCCCGGTGCTGTTTAGGAGTGTGGGATGGACCTTTCTTTCCACGAGGTGAAGGTCCTGAGGCACTCTGGGAGCAGAAATATACAGTGTTGAGGTTGAAAATGAGCAGAGATAGAAAAAAATTACATTACAGAGCAGAAGTCTAAAATACTACTAAACAAAATACAAAACAAAAGATCAAATGTGTGACAGATGAAGATCTAGGGTGAATGAACGCTGTCACAGCTGTGTGGAACTGTTTCCAGCTCTTACACAATTGGCAGCCTCTATTTTCACTCTTCACTTCCCTTTTCTTATTACACTCACTGATTTTTTGTTCACATGTCTGCTCCACTCCGGGGCTACGACAATTGGAGTGGGGTAGGTCTCGCCTAGGGTCACCTGTGCATGGGACAAAGCTGCAGAGCTGAGGGTCCAGGGTGTGTGCACATCAGCACCCACGATCCTCTGCAGCTCCGGCACCCACTGACGGATGTAGTCACCCTAAAACAGTTAAATCATTAAGAAAAGCAAGGAAACGAAAGAAAAACCTAAGCCTCTTCCTCTTCTACGACTCACATTACTGTCGTAGTCCAGGCCTTGTTTAATCATGTTGAACTTCCTGTTCTCTCTGGGGTCGTTGCCTACACCAGCACTGTACAGCCAATTGCCATAGTTGCTGCACACGTCGTAATCAATCTTTGGGAGAAACATTTCACAGAAAAAAGACACATTTTCAACTGAAATCTCAATACAATAGACAAAAATGCCCAATATTGGGTCCATATTATTTTGTTCTGCTTTTAAAACATTTAAAATGACTTGAAACTGGGCTGTTTTACTCACCAGGAGGTATTCAAACCACTCTGCGCCCATCCTCCAGTCCAGGCCCAGATCTTTGGTAAGGAAACTTGCTACATTTTGTCGCCCCCTGTTGGACATGAAGCCCGTCAATGCCAGCTCTCTCATGTTGGCATCAACGAAAGGAACTCCTGTGCGCCCCTCTATAAAGTAGAAAAACGTATTCGAAATTAATCAAAATATTATTTTATGACAAATACTGAATTTTACAGAGAAGCACTGAAGACAGAAACTAACCTTTCCACGCAGTAAAAAGCCTCATGTCTTGTTTCCACTGTACAGATTTGTCCTGAAGACCTCAGGTAAGATAAAAAAAATAGTTGTTTTTTTTACATTTATTTATTTTGCATAAAATTACATGTGAATGAAGGAAAACTATAGAAAGCGTTACCTTTGACCTGAAACAGTCGGTTTCCATACTTGACAGCCACAAATCTGAAATAATCTCTCCAAAGTAGCTCAAAAATCACCCTGTTGGAAAGAAAAAAGAGATGTGAAATTATTAGATTTTTTTGTGATTAACCTTTTTATGAAAATTAAAATATGGACATTTAAGGAGCAAAATTTTAAAAACAAATGTTATAATGAAATCTGGAAAAAAAATCCAGAAACAGTTTGGTTCAGTAAACATAAATCGTATGCACATGCACATGTGTTTTATACAAAAAATAAAGTCCTTATTGGTCCGGTCTCACCAGTATGTGCTCTGATTGGCCGTTCTCTCTGTCTCATACTGCTTAATCTGATGATAGATATACCTGGGTGAAATGCAACCGATGGCCAGCCTGCAGAACCAGTACAGCATCATTAGATGTGCCCATATGCACATGCACACAGAAAGAGAAATATAGTCACTATAATGTAAATGAAGACATGGCTCTTACCAAGGTGCAAATTTTGTAGAATAATCCACGCCCATCAAACCGTTGCGAGTCTCCTTATAAGAAGCAACAGCATTCTACAAACAACGAGAATGGATTAGGGAGTTTTTAAATGTATATTATGTAATACCACACAGAAAATATCAAACTAGATCTAAGCTAAGACAAGACCATTAGATCATGTTTTGTATCAGGAGAAATGCTGTCCTCTGTCTATTTTTCTTTCCTTTTGCAAAAGTTTACAGTTTTTTTGGGATTAAAAATCAACCGAAAAGAAATTATTTTGTGGAAGGAATGGTTCACTACAGAGCTGCAAAAAAAACTGTAAAAATGGAAAAAAGAACTGATAGAAGCCCTGTCTAGATGTTGGAGATGTACAGCTCCATGGATCAATGTACGCTCAGTGCTTTAGTACTGTAGCAACCTCAGCTCAACTTGTCCTGTTTATTATTCATCACTAGTTCAAATGCTTCCATCATCTTGCTTTTCTTGTATCACTAGGGACATGTTTTTCATCTCAAAGCTAAATGTGTTTTTAAGAAAGGGTTTTGCCTGCAGTCCTGCTTTTCAGCACCCCCTGCAGGGCAGTGAGGGATGGAGAGCTACATGCCCTGGTCCTACCAACCCCAACCTTTTTATTCCTGCATATACTACTTTAGAATTGTGCTGTAACCAACACCTACTGTCCTCTTTCTACGGTCACTGCACTCACTGTGTCCCAGAAATAGTGCTGGACTCTGGCCAGGGCCTGACTTTCTCCTCCAGTGCAGGGAAAGGCTGAGCGAGGATCAGACAGAGGCTCTGTACGAGAATAAAACAGTAACAAAGAAAAAAAACGTAAAAAGGCTTTCAGCAGCAGACTCTTCATTCAGGTTGAACACTCCCTGGTGTACATTAAGACGAACACAATCATAAAAAGCTTAATCATATACGCAGAAATGAAGGCGGCGTGTTTGCTGCAACTTAATGAGGAAATGTTGTCTCAGGAGTGCTGCTGAAGCTGCGGCAGCAGCAGTATGGATTTACTTTATAGAGGCCAGGCTCAGAATAAACTGTTCTAGCTTCCTTATTACAAACCATATATTCAAAGTCAGTTTAATAAGAAATTTTATTGGCACATAAAGACAACGTATACCTCTAAGACCCACCGTGATAACTGCTGCAGCCGAGGACAAAGACATCAGGACACTCACCTGTCTGCTGCAGGTCCTCCGCTGTGGGAATTACTCCCTCGTCCAGACCTGGAGGAGGAGGCTTGAGTTGGTCAGGAGTTGGAAACACAGACCTCACTCTGCCCCTGGTCTCCACAGCTTTCCTGAACTGAGTGTACACATCTGGCAACCTGATATTCCATGGAAATGATACAAAACGTTCACAATGTTGAAAAGAATCTTTCTTCAATAGTGCAATGCAGTAATAATTGTACTACAGTACTGTTGTAAAAGAAAAATCATAATTGTTTTACTAAAAGAAAATAATGTATAGTACTGCATGTAGTAATGAGTGAAAATAATCCTGCAATATTTCATAAGTGTAAACTCACCTTATCCTGTAAATGAAATGTTTTTATTAGCAAAGGATGATGCATTTTAAAAATGCAGAAAAATGGAAATCACTTGCTGTTTAATTTTTATTAAATCTCCACAGGTAAACTAAATATCACTTGTATTCTTTATAACATCTTATTATTTTTTATTTCTGCCTTTAGTACTTCGTTAGTTGCTGCCTCATCAGGTTTTACAAAATACCGTAACAGCCACAGATATAAAGCTTTTTTCTGAGAAATGGAAAAAAAATCTGCCTGCTCTCACTCAGATGGGTGGCGAAAGGGCAGATCATCTCTGTGGTACAGGGTTGACCCACAGCAGGTGTGAACTTTGACTCTCATTTGTGCACAGACGTCTTTGATTTTTTTCTCCACATTCAGCTCCTCTGATGTCACCTGAACCACGAGCACCGGGAGAAGAAGAAGAAGAGAAGAAATCAATGTTTCATGCATTTATAACAGGATTACAATGATAACGAGGGAGAGTTGGCCTTTAACTACCTCCTCGTGGAAAACCACAGTGCTGATGGAACCCAGCTGCTGGATCAACTCTGCTACGACATCCTCTGGTTTACCCCGTCTCACCACCAGGTTGCTGTCACACACACACAAGAGCACATAATTCCCTGTTCACATGCCTGGTCCACATGCACGACAAGCTGCATCCTGAGCAGAGTGCTCGCAACATCCCTCAGCAGTGACCAGGAAAAAATGACAGTGTGTGCGGTTGTCCGCATGTGTGTATTTGGTAGCTATCATCATTTAAACAGAGCTCAGCATAAGCCCAGGTGTATCCTGACCCTGTTATATCTACTGTTAAATCAATAGTACTAGACGGCACGGAGGGGCGCTCTGTGCCAACTGTCACATGACACGTGACCTCAGGAGCGCAAGAAAATATGTCATGGTGTAACATTACAGTGACCATGGAGCTAGTGTAGAAGGAGTAAGAAATGTGAAATAAAGCTGTAAAAAAACAGAAAGGACATCGTCTGTACGGTGAAGATGAGGAGTTAGTGATTGACAGCTACATTTACCTTCCTTTGCTTATCAGTGTGTTTCTCAGGTCTCTGATGCTCTCCAGCAAAAAGCGCAGGCGGAACGGACCAGTCTTGGGGAAGTTGTAATTGTACGTTCCCACGTAATGTCTGGGATCAAAGCAGTACAGGGGAACGATGTTCTCTGCGTTTCTCTGAGCCCAGTGGAAGAGCTGCAGAATATAAGCAACAGGAAACACAGAGGTTATAAAATGTTTTATACAATAAAACCCCCTCCCATCCCTGTCGGTACACCCTGATGAGCTCATTCTTTTTATTGGACCATTAACTTGATGCACAGAAATATTCATCAAAATCTAAGCTGTTCTGTTTTATGGAGCTCAGAAAACACATTGCCTCCCCACGACGTTCTAAATGACATAGACCAAAGAGAAACATTTTACAACAAAAAATGAATCACGACAACCGTATCCTACACGTATTCGTCAAATAACATTTCAATAAGCTTTGTTCAAATTAAGTTTATTTAGCAGTATCCCCTTATAGTGGTTTCTTACTACTTCCGGTCAATTTACAAGGCTTTAATTTTGTAACTGCGTCAACCATAATTATATGTAGCCGTGCTGTCAAATACCTGAATTAAAATAAATTAAATTAAATATTTCTTAAAACATCACATTGTCAAACGAGTTAAATTGCCTGAAATAATTAACCTTCGGTTAAACTTTTATTTTGGTAGACTTTGACGGAACAGTGCGCGCTGTTTTGCTGCGCGCTGACCAAAATGGCGTCAGCTCGACTGCAAATTGTAGACAAAACTTGTCCCAAAACCATCTTTTAAGTATTAAAAAGCTAAACTTTACGACAGTGTATTTTATACACACATTATTCTGAATAAAGTCTGACCGTAAAACTCTGAGTTACCTCATTGTCGTGGAGCCGCAGGTCATTTCTCAGTAAACATATGACGGTTCTGCTGCTTCTGGCCATGATGAAACCACAGCAACTCAGTTCTAATACACGACCGACTCAGTTTAGTTTACGCTCGCAGATCCCACCGGTGTCGTGAGTGCGTTTGTGACCGTGTCTGTGTGTATCCTCTCGTTTACGACAGCCCACGGTCTCTGGTCACGTTTTGCAACGTGACGTTACAAAACATGAAGGTTTTATAATGTTTTTTTTTTTTTTTAATCAACTGAAAACACTAGTCAGTCAACCTGCACTGTTTTTTTTAAAATTAATTTTAACTGAAGATGGCATGTAATATTTTTGATTGCCTATTGTATATATTAGATATAATAATAATAATACTAATTAAACCAAATTAATATTGACAATATGAAACAAGTGACAGCTATTTCCAAAATAATAATGTATTCAATTACATTATGTAATATTTTTACATTACAAAGTATTGTTTATATTTTCTTATTCACCTGTGAGTTTTATCTTTGAAACTGATCAAATTTTAATTGAAGAACAAACCCTTATTTAGGGAAATTTTAATAAAAAACAGAGTAAAGTCACAGAAAGTAGTCTTAGACCTTTGATTTATTAAGTTAAATGTACAAAAGATCAATGACATGATACATTTCATGTTTGAAGGCTCGTCATAAAGACAAGACCAGACTGTCCCCGTCAAAAGCCTGCCAGCCTTTTCATACTGCCTTTCAGCTCTCAAAGAGACAACCGTACATCCTGCTGTCAGAGTCACAGTACAGTCTGCTGCAGCTCCGAGCCATTCCATCAAATAGATTTGTATATAATGTATAAAAAGGAAACAAATGTCATACAAAAGTGCAGAACAATATGTATTTACAGTATAATCTTTCAGCAATCTGTGAGTGTGAGTGTGTGTGTGCTCTCTACTGAACAGCTGCTTGTTGTACTAAGAAGCTTCCCATTTTGGCAGTGAACATTTGTGTTTACAAGCAGTTTCAGGTAAGGCACTGGCAAAAGGTCAGAGAAAATTTGATCATTTCTGTTAAGTGCACCACGCGGGTCCATCGTTAATCCCTCCTGGTGTGTGTTTTTTCTCCTCTCCACTTAGAAGAAAACAGAATTTAGCCCTGTCTTTACAGTGATGTGCATCTACTCTGAGGCAACCGTGTTTTTTTATGTTTTTAAACCTTAAAAAAGACGGGTACATTTTTAATCTCCCGTCTTTGGATTTTTTTTTTTATTCTTTTGCCTTTAACATATACATTATATATTATTTTATAAACCTTCTAATTTTATTCATATTATAAAGTTCAGTAACTTTTACCATAAACACACAGACAGACTATGTCAATGGTTCTCAAACTATGGTGCAAGTACCAATGGTGGTACTTGAACATACTCTAGTGGTAAACGGAGGAATTATTGGAAGAACGAAGAGCTAATGCTATAGACTGAATTAAAAACAAAAGCTCTGTCAGAGGTTGACAGGCCTCCACAGAGTCTGGGCCCTAACGTCACTGAATCTATTTGAAATCAGCTTGACAGGAAGTAGGTCAAGGAGCAACAAGCATTCAAGCGCAGTTTGGGTTGTTCTAAGAGGAACTGCTGTTGCTGATTAAATGACAAAAGGAATATTTCGATGTTCATTTACATGAAGTGTGTGAAACAATTTAGTTCCACATTTCATGGCTAAATCACGAAGACTTATGCACACCACGTTCCATCTTACATGACATGTCTGCAGAGAGGTCTGCTCTCAAGTCATCTAGGTGAAAAAACAACACACAAATGAGTTGCTCTCTGCTCACTCCACCCGGCAACATGAGGTGATGCTGATTGTTTTTTGTTTGTTTGTTGTCTGTGCAGTTGTAATAAGCACAAAGCTGCCATAACTAGGAAGCTGCTTTAGGGCTGAGGTCAATTCATTTTGATAATGTCATATCATTAATACTGCACGTTAACTTAACCAAAATTAAGTTAAAGTTTCCGTCGCTGCGACATTTCTTTGGCCATTTTGTCTTTATACAGAACAAGGCTAACTGCATGAGACGCAGGGATGGATGGACGTCACAGACATCAACTGTACTGTTGCTGCTATTGCTTTTTAACAGACATTGCACACAAATGCAAATGTTTGGTTGGTTCTCCTTCTCCACACCAAAACACAAAAACAACACAGTTTTCTCATTATAAAAAAAAATCATCAAATAGAAAAATATCTCCTCAGGGTTTGATTATCCTGCACGTTGGAAAGGTTTCAATGCATGATATCAAAAGTGCAACGTGGACAGTCCTTCTAAGTGACATGGTGAGTGCTATGAAAATAGGGGAACGCAGCCATCATCAGCGTATTTCCTATAAAAAGACATTCTTACTTCTTACAAATTCTTATTGTAAGGCGTTGAGAAAAATACATTTACATTTTTTTTTGCAAAACTCTTCTTCCTAGATGTCATATAAAAATATTTCACCACCTTGACTTGACTTCACTCACTTCTAATTGTCGGCTGACTTAACAGTACTGTCAGGTGTGAGCGCTCTCTGCACTCAGTTAGTGCCTGGACACTGTTCTGCAGCTGAAGGTGAGGATAAAAGACCCAAGAAGAAACTACAAACCACTCTTCGCCTCATTCTCTAACTCAGGTCGTGTGTCCTGCTATTATTGCTGGACAGCAGTCTGCAGTTTTTGGGACCATGGTGTGCTTTCTTGTCAGTCCCGCCCGTGGGGAACTCTCTCTGAAGGTCTGACAGGACTCAACCTGGCCTCTTGGTGGACGAGTTGGTGAAAAATGCAGAGGTTTGAGCAGAGCAGAACACCAGTGGTGACACGGAGGCTGGTGACGCTGAAGGGAGTGGGACCACACACAGGGACGGGGCGGGCCGAGAGGAGGGGAGGCACCGGAGCCGTGAACACCTCACAGGGCAGGGGAGGAGGGGAGGGAGGTCGGACGGACTCAGAAGCTGCCCTGGACGAACGGTCAGGAGGAAGTCTGCAGTGGGACGGCGCTTCTCCTCCACAAACACCTCCCGCAGGAAGTCCCTGCAAGCGTCTGACACACCCTCGGGAAGCATGGGCTTCGTCGGCTGTGTGGCGATCTTAAAAATGGCCGCCATGGCCTCGTACTCGGCCCAGGGAGGTTTCTGTGTCAGCATTTCTACAACAGTGCAGGCCACACTCCTAGAGGTGGGAAAATCACAAACATCAGATTAGTCTTACTATCAGTTTAAATCATCTGAACTTCAGCCAAAATTATATAAAAAAAACTGGTCAAATGAATCAAACAGATACAAAAACATCAGATTAGTCTTAGTATCAGTTTAAATCATCTGAACGTCAGCCAAAATTATATACAAAAAAAAGGTCAAATGAATCAAACAGATACAAAAACATAATTAATTAGTAATATTTCAGTTAATTTTCTAAAATCAGATTTACTTTGCAAGAAATCCCTTTAAAAACAACAATTAAACTTGCTGCTAATCTAATCTGAGTGCACTTCCTTTTTTTCCATATAATTTACTCGTGCTCATATCGATTCCCATTTGGGCCTCTCTACACCTGATCTTCTCCTCACCACACATCAGCTTTCCGGCCGTATCCCTCCCCGTTGATGACTTCTGGGCTCATCCAGTAGGGGGTGCCAGTGACAGACTTGATTCCAGTCCCAGACATGCAGATGGTCTGGATCCGTTTGCTCGCTCCAAAGTCTCCCAGCTTCACGTTCCCCGAGGAATCTCTCAGAATGTTAGCACCTGGAGGAAGAAGACAATGTTTAGCCCTGTTGAAGAGTCTCCTGAGGGTCCTCCATGAGCCGAGACGGAGACGTTGGCAGGTGGAGGTTCACATGAATGTGGCTGGTTATTACAGGGTGGTGACGAAGAGCCTGTGACAGGAGGATTAAATCACCTGAGGAAAGAGAGAAGCTCCGTCCTCAGGTGGACAGGTGTTGTGTTTTGTTTTGGTTTCTTAAAGCCACGAGAAAGAGTTAGTTTTTTTAATATTACGTTTTTCTTCATAATGCCAAAATTATGAAGACAATTATGAAAAAAACTCCTCAAACATAGGGCAATAATGTTGGATCAGATTTACTCTGGGAATTCTGTGAAAAAGAGTCAGAATTCTGACTTAACAGATGAAATTTTGAGACTAACGGTCATAAATCACACTTTAATTTTAGAATTGTGCCGACAGGCTGCCCAAACACTCAAATCTATCTTTATTTCACATGTGGTGACAACATGCAGGCTGTTTTTTAACCAATCATGAAACCAAACCCTGAGCGCACGGTCTGTTCTCCAAGGATCAAACCCCAACTGTCTGTCTGCTCTCTCTGTCCTCAGTCATTTTCCCATTTCCTTCAGACGACTCCACTTGTTTGATCAGTGACTAATTCCTGCCCCTGACTGCTGTGACTCTACAGCCAGTGAAGGGCAGGAGGGCCAAGGAGATTTCAGGCTGAGTCTGTGTCTGCTGCCTGCCTACGTGGTGTTGGCCTCACGACTGTGACCCCGGTGTGAACACTTGTGTCTGTCTGCTCGGGGAATTTCATTCACAGAAACCTCACGGTGCTTTCATGTCATACCCGCGATGCCAGAAGTTCTCTGGAGAACCACATGTGCTGACTCCTGTGTTCCTGCAGACACTGGCTCTGTTATGAGACTGTGGGCTGAGGCACGCTAACATACTGTCTATTTCCCAGTTTTGAAGACATATTAACGTTACAAAAACACTCTTACACACAGAGTCCACTCTCTGTAGTGCCAGACTTAACTATATTTTTATATTTCCACCAACAGATGGTACATTTCCCTCCTCCTGGCTGAATGAAGTGGTGACTCCCCTAAAGCTGCGGGCAGCCAGACTAAAGCCTTTCCATCGGCTGATGAACATTCTTAGAACAGGCTGATCTGACCAGCACAGAGCCTGATTAAATCTATATGTATTTTCTCTACGTGACGGACGACCAAATAAGGAAATGTCATTAACAATATAAAAAAACATGCAGTGCTTTCTTTTCCTGTTTCCACAGGAAAGTAGAAAAAAACCTTTTGTAAAACAGTCCAATGGAAACTAATCTGTCCTTCAGTTACCCTTTTGTCCTATTTTTAGTTATATATACACATACATACCTTAGCTACCAATTTTAAACCTACATTTTAAATGTGTTAACTGTAAATTCAATTGCAAATGAGTATGTTTTGCTAGTTGATTTAGTTCAGTTCTCTTGAATAAAATGTAGCAATGCTAATGCTTAGCCACTGTTTTTCTTGTTTTTCTTTCGTCACCTTTGATATCTGTTTCTAAGGCTCAACACTGTTTTTCTTTCGTCACCTTTGATATCTCTGTGTACAATCATGTTGCTGTGCAGGTAGGAGACTCCTTGGAGGATCTGTCTGCTGTATCTCCTTGTCACCTTCTCCGTCAGAGCCCCGTAGGCTTTCAGCTGGTCCTTTATTGATCCCTGGAGACACAGAAAAGCAGGGAAAAAAGGAGCCGGACAAAGAATTAGTGGAAGTACTTTTAATCATAAGCTGCTGTTATTTTTAGCTAATGCTTTGTCACTGCCAAATCTGATGTGCAGTTCAGGATTCACTTTCGAGTGCTGTGAAGATTGGAAATAAATATTGCGGCTGAGGGGGATTTCTATGGAGGCAAAAAGCCATACACATAAAAAGAAGTGCTAAAAAGCAATGTGCTCGATTCTGAAATGAAACTCTTCCAATGTCCTGTAAGATTTTTTCATTTCCTGGTTTCATTTCCTCCTGAGGAACAGGCACAAGCAAAGAACCAATCCAGGAACACAATAAGTAAAGTACTTTTGGTCTCAAAAATCAAACAACAGAAAAAATCCTCTCTAGCTCTCAACAGGCCACTTGTTCACCCCCAGGCGCCTCCTCCACCTCCTCGGGCCACTAAAGTGTTATCGGTGAACCACAGTGGTGCAGCTGTAGCTGCGCCCTACCTCGGCTTTGTCACCTCCCCTCACGCTGCCAGCTCTCTGCTGAAAAGATAAACATTTCCAATTTGCAAACAATGTGTGACTAAAACACTCAATGCCACTCAGAAAAAAAATACAGCCAGGGAAGTATTAAAAACAGACCCGGGGTCCACAGGCGACAGCAGCTCATTAAGGCGCTCATTTAGTGAGAAAATGATCTCATAAACCGAGCTGTTTTGCTGACATCAACCACCGAGGACATGTTTGTTGACAGCTGGTGACATTTTCAAATTGGTCTGCAGCAGATGTGGCCACTTTGATTTGATGTGTGTCTTAAAAAGCTTTTACGCACCAATCTTCAGTGCCAAAACAACTGAAAAATGCGACATTTATCCACGTAATTCACTCTTATGGCTCAATAAAACGTTCAGGAGGACAGTGGTGAAATGCACAGCACATACCCCAGGCATGAACTCTACAAAGATGGTGAGCTTCTTCTGGTCCAGGTCCCGAAGACAACCGTAGTACTGGACAATCCTCTCGTGACGCAGATTCTTTAGCAGCTGAATCTCACATTCCAGTGCATTGACCTCCTACAGGAAGAAGAGCCACAGGATGAAGACATGAGTTCAGAACCTTCACCATCAAAGCCTCTACATAACTGCGGAACCCTGTGGTGAACCACAGGGTTCACTACCTGGACCCTTCCTTTTTAAAATGTATTTGCTTTTTGACTGCTATGCAGATTTGTCTGATTTACGTTCCTGTTTTAACCCTAAAACATGGTTACCAAAGTGAAGCTGTGTTAATAGTATGTTAGTATTTGTCCAAAAATGAATGGAATTCTATGGGAAAATGAGAGCATATTCTCACTCTATTACAAACACTAAGAAAACCCATTTCTGAGTTAAAGGACTAACATAAAAAATATATTCAACAGTGTGTTTTTATCGCTCACAACGATCAATGACTGCAGACAATATATATATACGAGTGTAATCCATCAGACATTTACATCATCTACAAATGGAGTCCTTGTGAATGATCCAGATGTCAATCACATGTGGTGTTTTATGTACACTCTCTCTGGAAGTGTTTCATGCCAATTATTGTCATAAGCATCATTAACTCTTTGCTAAAAATATTTGCTGACAACATAAAGAAGGTTAAAAAAAAAACCAAGTTGTTTAACACCTGTTAAAAAACAAATTTAAACACAAGTGTTGAATATCTTCTTTGGTCTGTTTGAAGGTTCTAATCCAGGGTTGAATGACGTACTCAGTTGAGAATGATCATACTCTGAAACCACAGGTATTTGGCTTAATGAGTTACCCGTGACAAAACAAGTCGTGGTACGCGCCCTCGTGTTCCATCTCCTACTTCATGATTTTGTACAGCATGTTTACCTTGCTGGTGTCTTGACAAACAGGATCAAATGGCACCTGCTTGGCAGCCAGCTCACGGCCCGTGTCAGCATCATAGCAGAGGTAGACCTCTCCAAACGCCCCGCGCCCCAACAGTTTCCCCTGTCGCCAGTTGACTGGCGCCCTCGGTGCTGCAGGAACAGAAAGATATGCACGATAAAAAACTCAGCAGTGATTCATGTCTTAACTGAGCTTAGCCGAGAGACAGGCAGGCAGAGCATCTGTGATATAGTGATGTGAGCAAACACCAACTCCACCACAAGACCCTCCACTGCATCTCACAGAGAAACATCACTGGGACCAGACCTCAAATGCACCACAGTGGGGTTAAATAATCCCCACCACAGACCCTGTCAAAGAGGGAAACCCTTGATATACGAGTCAAACCGCGACTCAGAGAAAAGCTGTCAAACCCGAGAACGATCCTCTCAGCAACTCTCATCTCCGCAGAGCCAGACTCTCAGACTTTGTTTTGGTATTAACGGGCTTTTGAGTGGCCACCGCCTCAGACAGTTTAGATGTGTGTGGGTGAGAGGGACACAAGGGGCTGAGACGCAGACCACAGACTGCCAGGCTGAGCTTTTGGTTTCATGACAAAGACAGTTTCTGGGCCAACAGCGAACGCATACACTCACAGAACGAGGAGTGGAGTGATTACTGAGTCTGGACGATAAGAGGGGAATTCTGTCCCTAACAAACGCTCACATTTGTGAACAGTCTTAGCCCATACTCTTAGTACAGAAATAAAACATGTCTGACAACTAGTGAGTGTTTCCATTTGTTTTGTTTTGACTTTAATAATTCTTGCATGACGCATCTTAGATTCTAGACATTACAGTACTTCTGACTTTTAATGCCTTGAATGCCTTTAATGCTACAAGGTTACAACACAGGAAAAGTCACTTTAAATGAAGACAGCAAAAAGATATTTATATGGGTTTTTTGAGTCATTGTTTTCATCTTCTTTAAGTGATTTGTTGAGTCTCTTTCTTTATTTCAATCTATTAAAAAAGCTAACATTGGCCAACTTTGGTCAAGAATGGCTAAAGGCCAGCTAACAAACACATTAGGAAAAAAGGCCTACATTTTAAGCATTAATCATGTAAAGACCATCTTATGATAGCTATAATATAATAATTAGTGCGACAAATACAGCATACTATAGTTTTTAAAAACAATAAAATAGAGAGTATCAATTGTAAATGCTAGTTTGATTACAAGCCATGAATATCCACAAAGCAAAACAAATACAGTTAAAAGAGAAAACAATATTGAAAATATTTTTAATAACATCTGTGGGTTTTTAGGGCACTTTCTTACCACATCAAGTTATTTTCTGTATGCCTTTAGACTGAGGCCAAGTACCATTTACACTTAATCAGTACCAAACACTTGAGTTTCGTTGCCAGAATAGTAATATTTTCCCCTCTTTGCTTTGAAAAATCTATTCTTTCTTTTTATGGAACAATGTGTTTAATCACTAGAAGTCAGACATGTAAAAGAAACAAACTGAACTATAATAAAAGCCTGTGTTCTCACTGATACCTGCGGTGGAAAATATGGATTTTTTTTTATAATTGCCTCCACATGTTTCTGTCTCACACGACAATAGACGTAATAAAAGCAGCAGACATATGGAGATCGTACGGATATAAGACTGCACTAAACTGCATGCAGATAAAATTCACCTCTCATCGCTCTGATTATTAACACGAACCAGATGAACTCAACACCTCTCAGCAGCACTGAGACAGACTGGGATTACTGAAAGGAATGTTTTTCTGCTGTTTCATGGAATTTTTTTATCTATGCATATCTGAGACTGGATATTCTTTAAGGTCATGTAGTCAATAAACATTCAACCTTTCTACCAGTGAAGAGATCTAGGAGCCTAAATTATTGCTCCATAATTACAGAAATAAAACAAAAAAAGTTCTGATGTTTAATAATTGTACACCAGTACGAGCTTAAACTTCTAGAAAATTATGATGAGATTCTCTGTGTTGAGTTTTTATCCTTAAATTCCAGGTTCTAATTTTAGAGAAAAGAGTCAGAACTTCTTTTCCTTCTTTTCCTTATTTGACCTTCATTCTGCTCCATGGGTTTTTGTTTTGGCTTCGTTTTGATGTTTTAAAAAGTTCTACTCACACTTGGACGTACTAAGCTGGCAGCTTTTGTCAGTGGTGCGGCCCAGCGAGCGCAGGTCGTACTGCAGCGTGGTGTCACCAGTGTAGCTGCGGGTACGACTGGAGGGAACCAGCTGGAACAGGTTCTCCTGAGGCATGAAGCTTCTGGGAAGTGTCCTACGACCTGAAAAAAAAGTAGACAGACGTTAATGTCCTTCACACGGACTGTGTCTTAAGGGTGCACGTTTATCCTGTTTTCACACAGGTGTGGGCCTTAAACACCGCTCTCTCAGTGCCAAGGCAGCCCAGTTAGAGCAGAGTAACGCTCCAACACTCTCGCTTCTCTGTCCCACTTCCCCTCTGACAGGAAGCAGGGCACGGTGTTTCTAAACCCGCTTGGCTTCACCGTGGGGAAACGTAAATCACTGCTAGCCAAGGTTAGCCTCTGAGTAAGCAATTACCAGCAGCTGCCTGAAACAGCAAGCCAGCACTTTGTAGATCAAATCTACACCAAGAACGGAGAGAGAGAGAGAGAGAGAGAGCGCAATCAACAATATAAAAAGAAATGGCCACTTTAAGATAAGCCAAGATAAGATAAGGAGGAAAACAAACGTAAGTCAAACAGCTAAGACCAAAGGGCTAAACTATATATATATATATATATAAACCTATGAAGAATTAAGAAATAGTTAGTAAGCCAAATTAAAGATTTGACAAATCTGTTTAATAACCACAACAATAAAATAAAACGTAATTTGTCATTTTCTCGACACACAGACTAAATAGCAGTGAGCTAATGCCTTATCTGTGTCCTTTAACGTTAAGTCTCACTGACCCAAGATGATAGTGATTATGTGTAATCTTTATAATAAAGATAAATGGATCGTGTATTATCAACATGACGCAGATGGAAACATCTGGTGTAATGTGTGTGTGTGTGTGTGTGTGTGTGTGTGTGTGCTGTCCTCCTAGATCTCAGTAACATATCTGTGTAGTGTAATAAACACAGTGTGGATGTTCTTTCTTACGATCTCCATAATCCTTGCTGCGATTGGGCAACTGGAACTGGCGTGGAAATGTCCCTCCTTTCCCATGACGACCTGTAGGGGGAGCAGTGAGGCAGATCTGTCAGTGATGAAGATTGAAGGGAAGCCTCTAGTCTGCTTCTGGCCTATGTTTTAGTTATGGTAATAGTTTTAAAAACACATTTTTGTCTACCTTTGAGCTGTCTTTGATAACTTTCCATCACACATACTTACAGATGTGTGATTGGTTAGTTATTATGTATTATATTAGGTATTACATGATTATAGACATCTGAATTCATTTCCTAAGTTATAGTATTCCTCCAGTATAGATATGTACCTTATGGCTATATTTCAATATTTTCGCCAACTTTCACCTTTGCTAACATCTGTCTAAGCATTAGTTCCATCACTCAATGTTCTGATTTTTACAAAAAAAAAGAAAAAAAGAAAAGAAAAATCTCAATGTTATGATTTTTACAAAAAAAAAAGAAAAAAAGAAAAGAAAAACAGAACATTTTCTCTCTTGTGAACATTGTAAAAGTCTTGCCCAGATCAAACTCTAACATTAAACCATCCTCACAATGGTGGTTTGGAACCAGCCTCTGTCCTCACAGCCTAATAAAGACATGCCTCTACACACTCACACACACAGAATGGAGAGCAGCGGAGCCACTTGCAATTGAAACCAGCTGTTCCATCAGTTGACTGCCTCCCCTTTGGGTTGTTTTTGTGACTGTATCCCAGGGCGACTGGAGTTATTTTTTGTGTTTGGCAAAGTGGGATGGAGAGGAAAAATCTACTCACTGAGAATGGTAAACAAATCCTGTAGGCCGCAGCAGGAAAGGACCGCACAGCCTCACATCAGGGAGGAGAGTGAGCTGTGTGTCTGTGCATGTGTGTGTGTGTGTGGAGCACGTACAGACACACAGGCAAACCCTCAGTCTGTGTGTGTGTGTGCCCTTTAGGTAATGCTGCTGCTGATGCTGCTGATGCTACATGACGTTCATCAACTACCAGTGTGTGTTAACACTTTTTTTTAGTCAACAGTGGTTTGGAAAAAGCTGCGGTGGCTCCTCTGTTCACCAGGATCAGTTCGACCAGATCTGTTATCCTGCTCTATTTGATCTGAACTATGAAGGAAAGGGGACAAACTGAGACCCAGGGGATGAGGAAGAGACGGGGGGTGAGGGAGTAGGGGACAGGGAGGGTAGGAGAGAGGGAGGGAGGAAGAGGCATCAAGAGAGGAAAATGCCAAACAGGTAGCCTAATATTAGAACTGAAGAAAATACACATTTGCTATCACGAAATTTAGCAATCTTGAAAGTTAGGCAGGATGGCTAAAAGTTAGCCCTGCAGGTGCAGTAGCTAAAGATTAGTCAAAAAGAAAGAAACCAAATCAGAAAATGAATAAATGCAGCACAGAGTTGGCTACAGTTAAAGAGAAAAAGCTACCTGTGTTTAAAAGACTGGAACCGTATATGGGACAGATTTGAACACATTCTTCAGTCTCTGTTGTTTTCTTTATATGTGAAAGTATAGAAGAAAGAGGAAGAAAACTGTTTAGAGCTGCACTGGATTTGTCCTTTTCTTACCTTTGTATTCATAGTTGAGGTTCAGGTAATTGTTGTCTCGATTGTTCTGTGAGAACGGAGGGCTGTAGGAACAGGAGAACCAGGAGGGGAAGCAGTGAATATGAGACAAAGGCAGGTTGAAATCAACAGCTCACAGCAGCAACAATAGGAAAAGTGAAAGTGGTGTATGTGCTGCTGAGACGCTCCACTGCCTGAAAAGCTATTATTTTATGACTAAATCTCCTGATCTACATCAATCCCCCTTCCCTCACACAACAACCTCCCCCTCCCCCCCCCCCCCCCCCCCCCCCCCCCTCCCTCCCCCCCACCCCTCGCTGCTCCTCGCCCCTCACTGCTCCTCACCCCTCGCTGCTCCTCACCCCTCACTGCTCCTCACCCCCTCGCTGCTCCTCACCCCTCGCTGCTCCTCACCCCTCACTGCTCCTCCCCCCCTCCGCGCTCCAGAAAGAAACCAAATCAGAAAATGAATAAATGTAGCACAGAGTTGGCTACAGTTAAAGAGAAAAAGCTACCTGTGTTTAAAAGACTGGAACCTTATATGGGACAGATTTGAACACATTCTTTAGTCTCTGTTGTTTTCTTTATATGTGAAAGTATAGAAGAAAGAGGAAGAAAACTGTTTAGAGCTGCACTGGATTTGTCCTTTTCTTACCTTTGTATTCATAGTTGAGGTTCAGGTAATTGTTGTCTCGATTGTTCTGTGAGAACGGAGGGCTGTAGGAACAGGAGAACCAGGAGGGGAAGCAGTGAATATGAGACAAAGGCAGGTTGAAATCAACAGCTCACAGCAGCAACAATAGGAAAAGTGAAAGTGGTGTATGTGCTGCTGAGACGCTCCACTGCCTGAAAAGCTATTATTTTATGACTAAATCTCCTGATCTACATCAATCCCCCTTCCCTCACACAACAACCTCCCCCTCCCCCCCCCGCTTCCCTGCTTCCCGCTTTGGCCCGGCCGTCTGTAGCCGGCCCCTGCCCCTTCGACCCTGCAGCACAGTGACGTATCTGTGGAGCGCAGGGCGGCGTGGGGGCCACAGGACCCTGGATAAGGGCAACGCATGCCCGCTGGCAGGGGGAAAGTTCCATGGACCTGTTTCCTGCCATTGTTCTGCAGCCTGGAGGCCAGATAAGACTGGTGCAGGTAGAGCTGCTTCACTCTCTCCCTCTCTCCCTCTCTCTCTCAGTGTAAGCCTCTCTCTCTCTCTCTCTCACTTTCAGTCTTTTTTCACTCTTCAGCTCTTCGTCAGCACTCTCACTCTTTCACCACGTCTCAGTTTTTTGGACCTCAGTCTTTCCTCTTCCTCACCATGTCTAAGCTCACTCCTTCACAGCTCCCACTCACAGTCTCTGCTGATAACGGAGGAATCCAGGCGTGGAGACGAGAGTTCTGTGACTATAGATACAAAAAAGTGACCGGATCCCTCACTATGACCCTCTGCTTTTGAAAATGACGTTGTCAGCGAATTAAAACTGGAGTGCAGACTCATCAGCAGCATCTCTGTACTAACCAGTATAACAGTGGTCTGTACCTAAAGGAGTGACCAGTGGTCAGTGACCAGTGGTCAGTGGCTGTCTGTTCTTGCCCATGACTCACCTGTCCAGTGCTTGGTCTATTGACTGACAGCTGTTTGACAGCGAGTTGTCCGTGCTCCCGAAGGGATCCAGCATCTGACAGATTTAATAAACGACAGATTTAATAAACGACATTTGTCAGACAGCGTGTGATCAGGAGGTGGAGGTGCAGGAGTGTGTGAGGAGGAGCCGAGGTCCTGTTGTGTTTTGGATCATCTCAGTCCAAAAGCTGCTGATAAATTTTAGATATGTTCTTGAAGAAACTAGCTGCTCCAGTTTCATGGATTTTGGGAAATAGAAGTCCTTAAGTGCAAATTTAAAAATGACATTTAAATTTGAAAGAATAATAATTATTAGCAATAAGCAAACATTGGTTCATATTCTCACTGCATCAAAAATAAAATAAAAAAATTAAATATTTCCTGCTGTAATTTCTCAGAATTTCTGTGATGTCAATACTGTTGATTACACCTGCTGTGAAATATGAACTGGTACAGTCACACACACACTCAGTACAAAGCAGTGTATATTCTGAGCCCGCTCTAACAATGAGGCTTCTGTCTCCATCTTTGGCTCTTACATTCTGGTCCAGGGTCTCAGGGATGAACTCTCCCTCACTGTGGATGCTGGTGTAGGAGCCCTGGCGGGCGATTTGCTGCTGCTCCTCGGGGACGCTGCCTGGTGGCGGGGACGTCCGACCTGTGTGTAGGGAGCCTGGGAATGTGAAGAGTTTTGAAGTACAGGGTGTAAACAGGGAGAGAAAGAGAAAAGCGAGGCAAAAGTAAAGGGAAGGAGAGAAAGGATGAAAACAAGTGAAGAGGAGAAAGTATTACAGTTATTTTCGGGGAGGAAAAGTTCACTGCCAGGACCAGAGTTTTAGTGATGACTTACTAAACCAGGCTGCCACAACCTCTAAACACAGTTACTGTGACAAATGTCACCCCTGCTGAGCTGCAAAGGAGACTGAGGACTCGTCCTTGACACAGTAAAACGTCCAACTACATGTCTCTCTGCGCTGACAAAAATACCCAGAAAACTGCAGTAAAACAGCGTTAAGAAACTAACAGTAATCATGGTGCAAAAGTCGTGAGATTGTTGTGTGTTTGATGTATCAAAAAATGAAGTGTACAGCTCCAAGAACAGCTGCTGCTCTGCAACCAAACTACCCAATATGTTTGTAAATAGGAGGTGATTTCTGCATGGGTTTTTCTTTATAAAAATCTCTATATTTGCAAATTCCCCAGAAACAAAGAGTCAAATCCCTGACCTTATACTTTCAAAACATCGGTCTAAAACGTTGATGTTTTGGCTAAAAGCTAAAATCCCAGCTCCTCTTGTTTCACAGACCCCCCCCCCCCTGCTGTACATCACTGAGCTGCTCCAGCTGACATCACAGCTTCACTCAACCATCCTCGGTGAGCAGTCTCTTGTCACCTCCATTCTGCCACCACTCATACAGCCTCTCCCTTCCTGGCCTTACAGATGACTGGGCTTCACTGACAGAGAAGCCAGTAACTGGACAGGATTTATAGGAGTCTGCGAGGTGACAGCGCTGATGGTAATGGAGCTGTGTGAGAAGGATCGGCGCTGACGTCCCTCATAAAGTGCTTTCAGCAGTTGTGCAAAAATGTAAATGCGCCAGAAAAACGAGCGCCGTTCATGTCTGCAGGTGCCTGAGGTTGATGAACCACTAAAACACTGACCTTTGTAGACAGGCGTGATTTAAGAGGAGTGAAAGGATTCAGTGCTCTGTTAACAAATATTTTTAAAAAAAATTGCAGTGTTTTCAAAAAGGCCAGGAGGGACAACAGAAGTGGAGTGTTTTATCTGACTGTGAAGTCCGACAAGAGAGAGACAAAGGCACAGTGTGACGTTTCAAGACTTCTAAGGAAACAAACAAAAAAAAGATAGAAACCAATTTGAGAAATGAAACTGCGGTGACACAGATCACCTTTCTCACTGATGTTAATGTCAGGGAAAACCTTAAGATTTTTACTGTACACCAAAACTGTGATTCCCAACCACTGTGCCGCTACACACATTTAATTGGGCTGAAAACTATTATTTATATCATATAATTTTTCTTTACTTGTCAAAGCATGAAAGGCAGAACAATTAAATACATTTCTGCTCTGTGGCAGCAGATGGCTATAAAAACTAAAAAAAAAAATAAAATAATCAGAGCTGTTGAAGAAGATCTCTGAGTGTCTTTCTTCAATTCCTGCCAGTATATCAGCGTTGTCTTCAATTAAACAGGCTGAGATTTGAGTCAATTACGAGGTCATTTAAACTAGAAGATTTAATTTCATTAAATATACTTTTTGTTTGGTGGTGTGCCGTGGGGTTTTTCCTGATGATATATATGTGCTGTGGCTGGAAAACACTGCACTAAAAGTACAACAAGAACTATTTTGTTAACTGTTAACCTGATGTCTGCACTGACCACCAATGGAACCAGAACAAAACAATTCAGAGTTCTCTTAAACTTCTAAACAACAGTGTTAGCACTTGTTAGCCTATTGTTAAAACATAAAATTCTGTCTCCGGTTCTAATGGTCAACAATAGTATCAGCACTTTTTGATCATTTTTCAGCATGGCAGCTGTTTGGTATGAGGACAGACACTTGTCCTTGCCATGACCTGTCATGTCTGACTGGCAAAATTGTCACTTTCCTGTCCAATTTGCATTTTTGTTTTTCCTGTCCGGAACAAAACACGTCCCTCGTCCCATCATTAACATTCCTATGACAACAGCACCACTCTGTGTTGTAAATCGACACCGACAGCCCACCCTGAGGCTTCAAAAGCCTCGACATCAGCAGAATCCGGCCATAATGTCACCTGCGCTGCCTCGTCTCTGTGTGTTCATACCACCGCGTGTGAAGCGATTGAAAAAAAAATCACATCTAACGACATTTCTGATGAGGCAGAATCCAGAGTTCTGCATCAGCACCTCACCTGTGGAGTGTTTGCGCACCCTCTCCGACCCCTTGAGCAGGGAGCCCTTCAAATCTCCCAGAGACCTGGAAGATTTCATCTCACTCTGTTTGTCTCTGCTGTTTACCTGTAGGTACTGAGGAGGGAAAACAAACCAGAGGAAAGAAGCAGAAGACGACAAATGAATGCATTGGAATTGAACAAAAATTCAGGACAGCATCATTTCAACAGAAACGTGTTATTGGGTTAAGAGGTCACGCCGCACAGCCAGTACCAGCTGTTTCCAATCATGATTTGTTCCTGCAATTATAAATAAATGTGTTGGCACAAATGCTGCTCACATGGCTGTTCTTGGGAGTCTTAAGCAGTATCCTGAGCAGACTGTTGATCCCGGAGCTGCAGCTCAACGTCAGCACTGCCTGATCCAGGTCTTCCTGGGTCTTCAGGGGCAGCAGCAGCTGTGAACGGAAAAGAAGACATAAAAAAACCACATGACATTTCCATCACCGGTTGTTCTGTAATGATGGCATGTAAACGCATCAGTGTTGGCATGACGTGCAGTAGACGTTTCTGTCGCTCTTTTACCTCTTTCTCCATGAAGAACATGTCCATTTGCTGGCCAAAGGCCTCCGTCACTTTCTGCAGCAGCTCCTTGATTTTCAGAGGCCTCTGAAAAGGGATGATTCTGTGGAGGAGGAGGAGGAGGAGGAGGAGGAGGTGAGAACAGGAGGAACCAGCTTCACGTTCAGTCGCAGCTCTTCTTCAGCACACACTCAGACAAATTGATTTTTTGTAACCTATTTGTTTCACTGCTATAAATAACAAAGATATTCTTTAAAATTATTCATGATTAAGGTTGGTGAAAACCCAATAAACAGTACCACCGCTCTACACTGGACATAGATATATAAATAAAACAAAAAAACTGAACTAACTAACTAACTAAACAGTACCACCGCTCTGCACTGGACATAGATATATAAATAAAACAATCTTTTCCTGTGGAGTAATGTGAAAAGTCACACCAGCTTTAACATCACTGACCAGTCAGTAAACCACATAAACAATGGCACGCTAAAAATAGCAATTCTAGCTAGCAGTATAGCTTGCCTTCCAAGCAGTTTAGCATTGCACACATTTTTGTTTCTCGCCAGTCAATATTAGGACTTTAACATAGAATCATTTTGATTTTATGAAAATAATTATAAAAACAAAACCATAAAAAATTAAATTAGAAAGAGGAAAACATTTATGTTTCCTCTAACACTAATTACCATTAAAATGGAAATAATAATGACAAACTGACTACAGCTCTTTTCATAACAACAATAACATCAACAATTTGATTGAGCAGGATGAGGTGCAGCGGAGGCGAAGGCTTGTCTGGCTCCGGGTGTTGTGGGTTCTGTGGTTGTGTTTAGTGTTAACCTACAGTGTGTTTAGATAGGACGATGATGTAAAGGCTGTCTAAGTTATTCTGTGGCAGAGTTTCCATGGTAACACTAGAAAAAAGAAAAGAAAAGGAAAGTGAATGCAGCTCCCTGCAATGTATGTGAACGTCTTATCAACTGAACGACTGCAGGCGAGTGTAGACACACAGTCTGTGATTATCAGACAGCGTTTGTAGTACTTGGATGTATAGTGTGCATACTGCACATGGTTGTTAGGATATTTTTGGGGAAAGTACTATTAGACCTGGGAATGAACTGCATGTATAAGAAGTGGCCGCAAAACACACACACACACAAAAAAAGCGAGTGTGTGTGTGTTTGAAGAATAAAACTCCACATGCATGAGTGTGTTTCCCAATCAGTGTGTGCATCGGACACTGTTTCAACACCACTGGGCCTCCTGCACTAAGGCAGCACAAAGGCAGATGGGAAACTTCCTGAG